ATGTCACTAATCCAAGACCAATCAAGGCATTGTTCAATCTTGTTGGGAGGCACATAAACAAAAGTACAAAACCATGATTTTTTTTGAAGCAATTTCATAAATGCAAACATGAACTATTCTATCATTAAACAAAATAACTTGGAGGTTTCAAACATTTTTGTCCCATAAAATCTAAAGCCCTCTTGAAAATCCAATAGAATTAATAATCATAAAGTCATCAAAATTCAAAAGTAAAAGACTTAGTAATTTTCTTAGATCGGTCAGGGTTGACATGAGTCTCCATAAGAAAGCATATAGCAGGTTTATGACTTTTAATAAGATCCAAAACATGCCTCTGGAGAAGGGGTATACCCACCCCCTCACATTCCAACTAAGTATCATCTTTTGTAATGGTTGAGTAGTTTGGACCCATGTTGTCCTTCTCATTAATTTTTCCTTGGCCATGTTCTTTGTTCAGGATAGTCTATATTTCTTCATTTGCATCCATATTGTTTGCTTTCAGGTCTTGGAGATTTTGATCATTTGACTTACCCTCCATCTCATCATCTCCTTATCCCCAACTATGTTGTCATTCTCTTCCCCGGTTTCATCCTCAAAGCTATTAAAGAAATTTATCCTTCTTCTCTAAACCTTGTTGTTTCTTTCTGAAGTTCCCTCCTTGTCATCCATTCCATCTATTGCTAATAATACATATTTACTCATAGCTTTAAGTTTTTTATCCATAGCCTTGCATTCTTTTGAACCCACCTTTGGCATCCATTTCATTTTAATTTGTTTGGAAATTTCCCTATAGGTTCAATGATTGCATGGCCTCTATTAATGAGTCTAGCCCTTGTGGATTCTTTCTTGAACTCTCGAGTTTTGTCTATTCTTTGAAACTTAGCTTGGGCCTAATTATTTTTCTTGTACATCCACATCCTATCCTTAACTTGATCATTAATCATCAAACCAATGTTTCTATTATGAATTTTAATGTTGTTTGGCTTCTCATTCTTTTAACAATTCTCCACCCATTTTAGCTCCATGGTTGTGCCCTACTCTATTAATAAGACTTGATATTTTTTAGACAAAAAAGTCACAAAGAGTAGCCGGCCATGTCTCCTTTAACAATGATTAGTCATTTTCTTTCCCATTGAGAATTCTGTGACGTTAAAGGTAAATTGTAAGTCTGCAAGACCTACAACAACAAGAAAAGAAAGGTAGGAAAACTCTATCTAATTGTGAAAACTAATATGCTTTTGGTTATATAAAATGTCTATTTGATTTGAGAATCCAACTTACCTTGTCAAGATGGAGTTTGTAATTGGGGTAGGATAGGAATGAAAAGGCATGGATGTAGAGAAGTGGGAGGACAAGGAAAGAAAAAAGAGAAGGGAAGGTAGATTTCAGGAAACAACTAAAAGCAAAAGTGAAATAGATGACAATGGTGTTGCCTTTGATGATGGAAATGTTCCTGTCATAGTACTACCCTATTTGCTTGTTACGACTATTATAGGATTGAAATTGGTGAAAGTTGAAGTATTAGCACCTTTGGTAGTTATTAGTAATACTACTATGCTTTTGCTAGTTTGAATGGAGAAAAAAAAAGGAATTGAGGTGCTTATTGATAGGATGCAATTTATAAGTTCCATCAATTGAGTTTGTCCCAACTCAAGGAGGCCATAACCAAGATTTCGGCAACATACAATCGCATGTGAACAATCAAAGGACAAAATTGGGTTTTAAAAAATTACAATAATCGCGTGCAATCACTTGCGAATAGAATATGACAACATTATAACAGTAGGGCAGAGTTAGTAAATTGTCAGAAAACTTAAGGGTACTTTAAGGGATTTTTCAAATAGTATGGGTGGTATAAGTCCATTTCCTAAAACCTAGGGTAGTTTAGGAGATTTCCCCTAGTTTATTATAGGAGAACAAACTTTGTGCTATTGTTTGTGCCTTGTAGAATGTTGTGAATATGAACTTATCCTTTGTAGTTATCTAGTTTGATTCTTACAGGCCATATTGGCTTTAAATGGACTTTCTTCTTCCGTCCCTTGGATTTACCTCTCCTCTTTTGGATACTATTTCTTTTTTCTCTTCTTAGCTTAGTTTTGTTTCTTTTAGTCATGTACATAGAAATCTAAGATCTCGTTTGGTTTGTGGGAATAAGGGTTTGGAATCAAAGTAGGCCATTCTGATTCTAGTTGTTTGGTTTGGCGGAATTGGAATCCCATTCCCATTCTTGGTGGAATGGCATTCCCCTATTTGAGGGTATGGCCATTCCCTCCCCTTCATTGGGAATGAAATCCCATTCTGACTGATTTTAATAATCATTCTGATTCCTATCTAAACCAAACAAATTATGGGAATGGACCATTCCGATTCTAGTTCCGAAGGATTTCGATTTCAATGACAACCTAAACCGACCCTAAATACTCTTGCTCATCTTTTGTGTTGGAGGTACTATGGTTATCTCCCCCCCCCTTTTTAACTTTGTTTGCTCTAGAGGTGTCAATTGGATTGGATTTGGTCCAACCCAATCCAATCCAATGTGAGTTCACTTATAAGTAGACTGGACCCAATCCAGTCCAAATCCAATACAAACCAAATGCAATCCAATCCATTAAAATGTAAATGGACTGGATTAGGTCCAATCCAAATCGAATGAAATATCAAAAATTATATAAAAAACAGAACATATAAAAAATTATAAAAATATATTAAAATGAAGAAAATCTGAAAATTACAAAAAAATACCATTTTGGTATTAAAAAAGCACTTTTTGTAAAAGTGCTTTGATAAAAGTACTTTTATAAAAGTAATTTCGTATAAGTGCTTTTGTAAAAGTTTTTTCATAAAAGTGCTTTTGTATAAGTTTTTTCATAAAAGTGCTTTTATAAAAGTACTTCCATAAAAGTGCTTTCGTAAAAGTACTTCCGTAAAAGTGCTTTTATAAAAGTACTTCCATAAAAGTGCTTTTATAAAAGTACTTCCATAAAAATTCTTTTGTAAAAGTGATTTCATAAAAGTGCTTTCGTAAATGTACTTTTCTACAATTGCTTTTGTAACAGTATTTCTATAAAAGTGCTTTCGTAAAAGTACGCTTCATAAAATTATTTTTATAAAAGTACTTTTGTAAAAGTGTTTTCATAAAAGTGATTTTATGCCGGCTTCAGTTTTGACCGGTTTCAAATTGGATAAAGGTTTGGCCTCATGATGAGATTATTGGAAATTTGGTTTAGGTTCAATTCAAAGTAAAAAGAATATGGACGAATTTATTTTGGATTGACCCAATCCAATAATTACAATGGACCGTCCAAATCCGATTTGATAAGGTTTGGATCGGATTGGATCTAACCCAAACCGGTTGATTGACACCCCTAGTTTGCTCTCCCTCTTCTTATAATTGAAGTTGATGTTGATATAAAAAAATCTGCTATGAAGGACAATTAATGCAAACTGTGATGTGGTAAGCTAAATTGCTCAATCAAAATCACTTTTTGTACCTTTGCACATTTTTTCGAGGATATACCTTTGCACAAATTTCACTTACAACAATGTAAATACATTCGAATGTTGGTTTACGTTTTTTCGTCCATGGTAACATCTGTTCGCGGTTCTTCGGTAGATGCACTTCATGGTCAGTTCCGTTCGCAATTCTTCGGCGGATGTAGTTATGGAAGGCAGTTACAATCTCTGGTAACGGTTGCAATGTTTTGGCTTTGCCGCCTGTTGTGGATCTACCCCAACCATCCTATTATCGGCTCTTTGTAGTATCTTTTGGGAACCTCTCTTGTCATTTCTTTTGCTGTTTGTAATGGATTGGAGTTGTACTTATCTACTTCTGTTGGTGATTTAATTTACCTTTGAAGTTCGTTATGTTCTCTTTCATCCCTTTATATATTTTGTTCTTCTTCAGAAATTGTATCTAGGTTGTGATTGGCCTTGTTGACAATTCTGTATTTGTATTAATTTCTTGAATGAGTGAAATATGCTTTTAAGCCTTGAAGAAATAGAATGTAGATAGGAGGATATAAATTCTAATTCACTTTTGTTTTAGATTTGACACTTGTCTTATTTGATCACGAGAAATAAAACGAAAAGCAATCAAATAAAACACATTGTCCTTACTTTGCATGAAAGATGATGGAGATAAGACGAATCATTTGTTTTGGAGCGAGGTTGGAAAGAAGATAATATGGTCCCCACTTGACATGGTAAAGAATTGATATAGGAAGAAAGTGATATATAATTTGGATCAGTTTTTCCTAGATATCTAATTTGTAGATACAAACTTTGCACCGCCCAGACAGCTGAATAAATAAGTACAAAATTTGTTTTTGATTTAGATTTGCAGAGGAAACAAACAAAGCCTTCCATCAAATTGCCTGCTTCACGCCTGACATTAAAACTAATAACTATTGTTGTAGTTGTCTTTTGAATGACAGGTGGATGTGGAGAGTTCTGTTTTAACCCTCTACCAATTTGATTTAACACCACACATCTCACCGATGCGTGGTGTGAGATAATGTTGGCAGACGTTGAAATGTATTTTGTTGACAGGTGATTCGGACTATATTGTTAATTTTTCCGCCAAATATATTGTTATCGCCCACGTGTTATTGATAAAGGTCGGTCGTATTTGTTCAAAAAATCTCGTTACCTCCCAACTGCCGTCCCTCCTCGCGTTTTTTCTTCATTGTTTGTTAATACGAACTTTTCGTTTATATTTCAAAGCGATGCTGATAGTCAAATATTTTTGGTTACCAAAATACCCCTCTTATGATGTGTTAATACACTTGCACAAATGGTCTTCCATGTCATTTAACAAAATAAATGCTTACCTGGTCTGGAAGACTGGAACTGTATCCCACCATATTACTCTGATATTTCAGCCTGTGAAAAGCATCCATGATCTTGCCACGTGTCATAAGGCAACTGCTCTTTCTCTTTCATACCTCATTTTTAGAAATTAAAAATGGAAAAACGATAAAAGGAATTAAATTAAACGAGAACTCGACCATTTTTTTTTCCTTAATTCGGCTACGAAGAATTCTCTCTCCTTGGCCCTTGCAGCTTGCTGGTCTCCAGATTTTTTATCAGAGCCTCCGAAATTCGCAATCCAAAGCTCGGAAGCATCTGTGGTAACTCTAGGATCTCTTTTTGATTTCACTGGGTTTCATTTGAGATGTGAAATTCGATGTTTTTGCAAAGGAAAATTCAAGAGAATTTCTGTTAGTAGACGGTCTAACTGGATGTGGGAGGATTCTCAATCATTCTTGTTTTTTCCTGGGTCATTTTAACAAAATTTCGCGAAGGAATCTCGAAAGGTACTCAGGTCCTATTGCATGTAATATCTACACTTTCGATTATCAGAGGAGTAGAAGAATTTTATTTGATATTGTCTGATTACGTAAAAGTGTAAAAAATTGTCTTTTATTTGTGTTTCCGCATTTTCTGATCTATAGTTCCTTTAAATCTTCAATTGAACGATGTTTTAATGAGAATTATCGATTTCATGTTTCATGGTGGTGAATTACTATTGATCTTGGAGGCCAATGCGGATTTCTGTTGAAGGGAATAACTAAGGTCATGAAATAAAGAGGCGTTTTTGTTTGAGGAGAGCAGAACGAAGTCGAAAAGATGTCTTGCAGGGGGTGCTTCGAATGCTTATTGAAGCTTCTGAACTTCTTGTTGACGCTAGTTGGGTTGGCCATGGTAGGTTATGGCATCTACTTGTTAGTCGAATGGAAGAGAGCTTCTGATGATACGAATTCCCCTTCGCCTCTCAGCGACAATCATGAATTTATAGAGCTCGGTCGGCCTATGCTTTTGGTTGTGTCTCTATCTAGCAATATTCTTGACAAACTACCGAAAGCCTGGTAGGTCAATCTCTTCTGGTAATCTGGTATAATGTTATTTTTCCAATTCCTGACAGATTGTTCGGTTTAAAGATAGTTGCTGAATGAGTCAATGAAGCCTTTGTTTTGTATTTGTTGAAAATTTAAGCAACTGGGTATATGAGGGCTTATAGCTTAAAACCCTCCCTTGCGTATTATAGCAATTTCCTGAGGGTATATACCAAATTAACCAAAACCGTTTTCACTTATGTTTAGTTCTAACAGAAAAATTCACAGAGCATTGGCTTATCGTATAAAGTCTTTTCTTTATCACCATTCTACAAGTGCAAAGTCAGATGATTGACTTTCTTCTTTGTGAAATAATAGTAAAGAGAAGTTTGTCATGTAGTGCACATTTGGAGATAGTCGAGTGGTGGTGTGGGTGGATTGGAGGATGCTTGAAAACTTTCCATTATTCGATTTTAGTTAATGGAGTGGTTAGGAATTTCTTTCTGTCCTCTGGAGGATTAAGACAAGGGGGTTCCCTTTCTCCCTTCCTTTTTACTTTGATAGCTGATGTGTTTAGTAGGATAATCTTGAAGGCTGATAGTATGGATTTGATTAGAGGCTGGGGGTAGGCAAAGAGGGCATTGTTGTAACACATTTACAGTTTGTAGATGATACAATCATTTTCTGTGAGACAAGAGACCCATGGAAGGCAAGGGATTTGAAACAAGTGATAAAGCTGTTTCAATGTGTTTCTAAGTTGAAGATTAATTTCGAAAAGAATTGTGTGGTGGGTTTGAATTTGGAGCAGGAGGAGTTGAGTGAGGTAGTAGAGTCCTTAGGTTGCCTTACCTCTAGCTGGCCTTTGAAATATTTGGGAATGCCATTAGAGATTATCCTAGTGAAGGAAGATTTTGGAATCCTATTGTAGAACAATGCACAAAGAAGTTGGTAGTCTGGAGGAGAAATTATATCTCATTTGGGGGTTGTATCTCTTTAATAAATGCAACTCTAGCAAACCTTCCAATTTATTTCCTCTCAGTCTTTAGGATTCCACAAAAGGAGATTGTGAAGATAGAGAAAATTATGAGGGATTTCTTGTGGGAACCTGGGGAAGGCGGGAAGGTTCATGTGGTAGGGTGGGAACTAGTGTGCAGGATGAAGGAGCAGGGGGGTTTGGGATTAGGTAACTTAAGGAAGAAAAATACAACCTTGTTGGGTAAATGGCTGTGGAGATGGCCTTTGGAAAGTGACAGACTTTGGCACAAAGTTATAAAAAGTATTCATGGAAGTGTAGGTAATGGTTGGGATGCTGGTGTATCTAGGAGAGCTACGCTGAGTTCTCCTTGGAAGGCCATTCGTAGTATTCTTCCCTTGTTCTTGAACATGGTCATGTATGATGCTTGTAATGGAGATAAAGTTTTGTTTTGGGAGGATATTTGAGTTGGTAACTCTACACTCAAGGACCTGTTTCCCTATTTTTTTCCCCCTTTTTTGTCTAAAAAATGAACCTATTAAGAGTTTTGTGTCCTTTTCCAGTTGGAATTTGGGTTTTAGGAGGGATTTGAGAAACTTTGAGCTTGATCAGGTTGCTTTGCTCCTTAAGACCTCAGATTCAGTTTGCCTGGATCCATCTAAACTTGATGGTCGCATTTGGATTCCTAGCTCTTCAAGCTCCATTACTTGTGCTTCCTTTTTTCTTCCTTGTGCTTAGTTCCTAATCCCCAACCTTTCCATTACAAGGAATTTTGGTCCAAACCTATCCCTCCAAGAGTGGGAGCTCTTTGTTGGGAAGTGTTTCTTGGAAAATTAAATACTTTGGATGTCCTGCAAGTTAAAACACCTGGTCTTTGTATCTCCCCTAACTGGTGCACCCTCCGCAAATACTTTGGATTTCTTGTTGTTGTATGTCTTTGGGATAAGATCTTTGGTCTTTTGGTTGCAGGTGGACTGATCCGGTGCAAATCAATAGTCTGTTTGACCCTTCAACCTTTAGGTGGCCAAAGAGAAAGGGTAGAGTCTTGTGGAGGTGTGCTAGAGGTGCTTTGGTGTGGACTGTTTGGGAAGAAAGGAATGCTAGAATCTTCAACGACAAGGAAAGGGATGAGACTAGTGTTTGGGAAAGCATTTTAAATAGGGCCATAAACTGGGCAAAGTCTTTGGACCTCTTTTCTTCTTTCTCCTTGGATGACATCTGGAGAAATTGGGAGCAAGTAGCCAACAGTTCTATTGCAAGAAACAAACCAGTGGTGGAGTGGAGGCCTCCTGAAGAAGGTGTTATTAAATTAAATTTTGATGGCAGTAGTATAGGTAACCCAGGGCCGTCCGGAATTGGGGGTCTTTAGAAATGCGGAGGGCCAGATTGTAGCCTTATTTTTCTGGATCTAGTGATGAGGGAGACTCCATTAATGCAGAACTCCAAGCTGTACTTAAAGGAGCAGAGATTGTGAAGGATTTGAATGTGGGACATTTGATAATTGAAGACAACTCTAAACTGGTTATTGGTTGGCTGAAAGCGCTGGAAACTGTAGCTTGATCCTATAGGGGGGGCTATAAGAAGATTCAAATGTTTAACTTCTAATATAACAATCAGAGTTCAATGGGAAAGAAGATCAGCAAATGGGATGGCAGATTTTCTAGCCAAACAAGGTACATAAGAATCAGTTCTTTTGGGCTTAACTGTAAGCTGTATGGTATAGTTTAGAGGCGGCATCTCACACCTCATTGTGGGGATTTTGTTCTTTGTAACCTTTGACTTGTGATTTTAATTAATAAAATTCTATTACTTATAAAAAAAATCCCTATGAGAGGTATGGCAGCATTGCTATATTTGTCAATCTGGATGTATGAAAGAGTGGTTTTGAATGCACCATATCTTCTACTTGTGGTAGGGGTGTAAATCAGGCTGGGTTAGGTCAGGTTTAGATCAGCCCTAACCCAACTTGAGTTGTTAAACCTCCAAGGCTCCAACCCTAACCTTAACCCAACAGGTTGGTTCAATTTCTTTAAATTTGCTAAAAATGTTCTTACTTTTCAGGCATAAGATTAGTGGATTAAAATTGATTGACTTTTGAATTAGTATGTACACAGGGATAAAGATAAAGTTATAATGCCTTAGGAATGGAGAGAAGTAAAAGACTTGCTGCTAAACCATCCCTGGAGAAATTAGCTTATAGAGATGAAGTAAAATGGAGGCAAAGAGCCAAAGTCAAGTGGCTGAAAGTGGGAAAACACAAGTTTTTTTCCACAAGATGGTTAATGCTAGGAAAAGATTTAACCACTTGGAGAATAGATGGGTAAACTTGCTAATGTTTACATTAATGTGGTTTTACCTCCCAAAGATATGATATGCAATTCTTTTTCCAAGCTGTGAGTCATTTTGAAAACCTTTCTATAATGGGATCCAAAATATTGAAATTTTGGGATTGCTAATTGGAGTCCGAGGAAGCTAAAAAACCATTCTATCACCACACACCTCAAAATTCTAGCATATTTCCCAATCATGTTCAAACATACTGTCTATACTGATTCCTACAATACATCCCTTGCTTACATTGATATTTAAATTTGGAATACACTAAAAACACTTGATTATTACCAGCAAAATGGTGCTACTGATGTTGCTTGCAGCTTTGGAGGTACATGGGTGAAAACTAATAATAACCCAAGCTATGATAATTGCTTGTACATGACATTTGGTAGTAATATGAGTGCTGCAAACAATGTCACAGCATTTCTTTCAAGTTCACCATCTATAGACTTGAGTATTTCTGCATGGATGACTGGTTTCCTACTTGTGATTTTTCTCTCATTCTTCTGATTTTCCAGCGGTGTTAAAAGAAGCCTGGGAAGACGTTTTGAAAGAAATATCCTGTCACATGCAGGGAGATGTGTCCAAGAAGGAAGTTGCAATTCAAAGTTACAAGTGTTGTAGAGCAATCTATTCGTAGTCGTATTAATATGATACTGGAATATTGGATTAGGATGTAAATGCATGCATAGTCGTTCAAATATGTGCTAGTGTGAGTGTGACACCATAGTTGGTTATAGGTTAAATTTTGGTGTCATTTGAGTTACTGTATTCCTTTGGCTATCCTTTCTATGTCTATTCTTGTCAAATAAAAGTTAGTAAGTTTCTAGGGGTCATTTTTCACTTGCCATCTTCAATTTTTCCCATTAAAGTAACAGATTTTAGATTTTAGACCATGTTTATATCTCGTGAACCATCATTATATGCTCATGAAATGTGATATAAATCTTCATAATACACAGTTCAAACTTGATTCTTCTCCTGAATCACTTAACTGTCAACTATAACTATAAGAAATGTCCCTCTTCTATTGGTTCCAGGTACATACCTATATTTGCCAGTTTGATTCCACATTTGTATGAAGTCATAACGACTTTGGATGTGTTTGTGTAGTTTGTTAATTTATCTCTCTTGTAGCCAAGACTACATAGCTAACACAATACGTCTCATTGAGACTTGGAAAGCATGGCTTTAAATGAATATGCCTTGTTTCCTTTATTTCCCCTTCCTGGATTGGATGGGTTTGGGGTAGGGGATGCTTAACTGGGCACTGATCAGCAATGCTCAGGGAAAGGATAAGCAAAAATTACAAGAAGAAATAGGTATAACCTAGGTCAACCAGACAGGAAATTGTGTAGGGCAAAGAAAAAAATATATTAGGGCCTAAATAAGAAGGTAGAAAATTAGAAGCCCCATTTGAGATACAAGATTGAGCTCTGGAAAAATTTTGGTGTTTGCACCAAATAAAACCATTACCAAACCATTGATTGATAAACCACTTTGAGTGGAACACACATCATTTGGATAAAAGGTGGTTTGGATAACTTATTTCGTAAGATGGGTCTACTCTGTGTATAGAAGGGGCTAAATCTGGGATGAAAGAAAATATGAGCTTATGTATGTATCTTGGGCTGAAGTTATCTGATGATGCAGATTCTATATTGTATTTTTTTGTTGTTTTATTTTTCCTGGGTAGCACTGGGCACCATTTTCTATTGTCTCCTTAATTGTCCTTAATGGGATGGGCTTAGCTTTATTATTTAACATATTAATAAATCCCCTTCGATCTGTTTCTGATAAGAAAAAGCGATATTGTGACATGTAAGTTAGGGGACATAAGAGCGTGAATATTTCAATTTTCCATGGTCTCATGTGGCATGTACATTGAGCAGACAGAAGTAACTAATGTTATCACTGTTATGCTCTTGCAGGTTTATATACTTGTTCATTGCTATTGGAGTTGTTATCTTTGTCATATCTTGTTTTGGCTGCATTGGAGCTGTAACAAGGAATGGCTGCTGTTTGACTTGTGTATCCTGATTCTTGATGTATTATTTTCCTCAAATATTTATCATTTTTTTCTTATCTTTTTGTCTTTTTTTTTTTTAATTTTCAACCATGGTTACTCAATTTTCTTAATAGATTTAAATTTACCTGATATTTTCGGTAAAAATTACTTGATTTTTCCTGAAAATGTGCCTTTATTTATTTTTGCAACAGCTAAGCTTTTCTTTAATTTTGTATAGGTGATACCAATATTTACCAACTTTTATTTATTTATTTATTTTTAATTTTGGCAAGCATGGTTAGTTGTTATTTGATTAACAAATTACAATTTACCTGGAATTTTCAGGTATATCATGAATTATTTGATTTTTCCCAAAAAAGTTATGCTTTTTATTTATTTTTGCAATAGTAATGTTGTGTTTTTCTTGTTTATAGGTGATTCCAATGCTTTCCTTCCGAAAATCTTGACAAATTTACAAGTTTGTATCAATGTGTAGTTACTTGGAACTTGGAAGCATATTCTTTGATCATTAGGACCAATCAGGAACGTTTTATTAATCATGGAAAACCCCTGCTATTAAGTGCTAATAACAGGGAAGAATATTTTGGGCAATAAATCCAATAGGTGGAGCAATAAACAGAAAACAAAAACCAGCAAGTTCTGGCCATGTCCTTTAAGATTACAATCAGCAAGTTATGTAGCAAAAGCTGTCCATGGCCCTGGCATTCCCCATCCAAATTGTTGTTTCCCCACTCCAGCTAGAAAATCAGCCCGCAAATTATCTGACCTTGCAATTGGGTTTTTTGGTTGGACAGCTAAGATTCCAAGGACCCTTTCAGCTGCATGCATCTAGCTAATAACCACCTGGTGATCTCCTTGAGCCTGCAAGTTACTCCATCCAGAAAATATTCATATGTGAGTCCCTGTAGAAGGGCTAACAGCTTATCTTTATGTTCTGTTCTTTCGCCAACTGGCCCAGAAAATCTAGGACAATATTTCCTTCATGATCCCTAGTTAATGGAGATTATTTCTAACTAAATTTAGGATAATAGATGGCAAGTGCATCATTTTCCATCATATTCTTTTTTTTTTTCAATTTTGGTAATGCTAGAAATTCCAAGATCCAAAAATTGCATCTTTTCTTTTGTTGCCTTAGTTTCTTTATTATGAAATGATTTACTTAACCAATGACAGTATTCTGTATTGTTGATTTTGTTGATCTTAGTGGAGCTTGGTTGTGCTGCTTTTATATTCTTTGACCATAGCTGGAAAGATGTAAGTATCATCACTTCATGGGGGTTCTAAATTGCCTGCTTTACATAGTTTGCTATGTAGTTACTAAATATGGTTCTCCAGGCACTTCCAACTGACAAAACTAGAGATTTTGAGATGATCTATGAATTCCTGAAGAAAAATTGGAAAATTGCAAAATGGGTTGCTTTAGGAGCTGTCATATTGGAGGTAACTTAAGCACACACCAATGTATTAAACTCACATGGAATTCTATTATTTTCTTTTCCGGAACTGGACTGATGATATGTTGATATGAGGTCAAATTTCCTAATTTTTTTCACTTAAACTTTCCAAATTCAAGCCTCGATACTGGTTCCATGGATGTATATTAAAAGGACTAAAAGATCCTGAGGTAGTGTGCCCTTTCATGTATATGTTTTTACAAAGAACTGATCAAAAGAATATACTTTAGCATATAAAATATTTAGATGTATTATATATTTATTATGCTAAGTATTTCCTTTCCTCAATCTTGATGTTGGATCAAAGGTGAAAAGAGAGACAAGAATGAATTGACATTTAAGCTTACTATTCCATCCTTGTGAATGAGTCTTTTCATGATTCCTTCCTGGTTAAAATATGACTGAGATAGGGAGACCCTTCATCTTTTTATTTTTTATTTTTTATTTTTCATTCTAGTTGCTGATGTCCCAAGTAGGATTTTGTTTTAAAGCAGATACAGTGGGGATAGTTACTGTCTTTAAGGTGGGAAGAGAGGGTATGGCATCTCCTCTAATGACAATATCATCTTTTTTTAAGGATCAAGGGGTTGAAGGGTACAATATCAATATTCCACATATCTTAATAAAATCTCCTAATAGAATCTACATGCTTAGGATAAACTGTCGGAAGAGTGGTTCAATCTATTGGAGATATTTATAGTTGATTATGCTAGGATATTTTGGTTTAATCTCTCTTTTGGCTACATTATTTGGGTCTACATCTTTGAGTGAATCCAATAGCTTATGAACCTTGGCTATGTTCCACATTGAAGATAATCAACACAGGTGACATGCTCCAATGGAGGACTAAATGGTTTGTCTTTCATGTGTTTGCCCTTTGCTTGAAGAATGGTGGAAGTGCCACTAAATGTTTTGTTTTGGAATGCCTCGTCACATCAGATGTGGGGAGCTAATTCTTTAATTTGTTTGGATTCACTTGGGTTGCTCCATTGGAAGTGGTGGATTTGTTTTGAAATCATGTCCCATTTCCACAAGAAGAGGGAAGTTGCTCTGGCATTGTGCAAGGGCAGCAGTTTTATGGGGGTTTGGTGTGAGAGGAATGCAAGAATTTTTGAAAACAAAACCCAAGTGATTAGGGCTATTCATTGGGTGAAGACTACAGATGAGGTTAAGAGTTTTGGTTGAATTTTTTTGATCAATCAAGAGTTTTGGTTGACTTGATCTTAAGAGGCTGGCAGGCTGTGGATAGACTTACCATGAGATGTAATATCTGTTCCTTGGACATCTCCTGCTATTGGTACTTGGTAGTACTGAATTAAATTTTGATGGGAGTTCCATTGGGAATCTGTGTCAGTCAGGTATGGGACGGGTTGTCAGAGGTCATGGTAGGAGCACTTTAATGAGTTATTTGGGGCCAACTGGGCTTGGTAACTTTGTGAGAGCTGAACTGTTAGGCCTCTTACAAGGGCTGAAATTAGTATATAACATTGGATGGAATGGAATGATGGTCAAAAGTAACTCAGGTGGTTGTAAGATAGTTTTAGTCAAGTTCTGAAGGACTTTGGGTTTAAGAGATCTGGTTAGAGAAGTACTTTTGCTACCTTCCAATCTGAAATGCTTATTCAGAATTTCAGATGGATTCCAAGGTCTGCTAACAGTTTAGCAGATACTCTAACAAGGATGGGTGTTAACCAAGAATGACTTAGATTAAGGAATGCCACAGCTAGGTGAAAATCTGTAACTGTCTTGTAATGTAACCATGACAACCTATGGATGTTGTTAGGGTTCCGTCCTACTTCTCTACATCAATTGGAGAGTAGTGTTATGCTTTTTTTTTTGAACAGGTAAAGTATATTTCATTGATAATAAGAGGCTGTACATGAGAGCATGTACCAGAAGAACTTTATGCGCCCCCCCCCCCCCCAAAAAAAAAAAAAAAAATCCACATCCAAAAAAGAAGAAGAAAAAGTAACATTTTAACCAACTTCTCAAATCCTCTATAGCCCTATTATTCACCACAGATTCTGGTGATGTTGTCTGCTCGAAAATCCTCAAGTTTCTTTCTGACCATATGGACCACAGTACTGCCAGTGGAACTGCAGACCAGCAAACTTTCCCCTTCCTTGACAAGCCCGAAATGCCCCACTCTTTCAAAAGGTCCCTGACTGAGAAGGGGCAGCACCAATACAGATTAAGAGCCCTTGAAAAGTGGCTCCACAAAGCTGAGCTGAAGCTACAGTGTAAGAACAAATGTCTAGCTGACTCATCCTCCCTGTTGCAGAGCACACATAATCTGTCTTGGATAGGGTTACCCCTTCCTCAAAAGCAACATTTCTCTAGCACAACCACCCATGTGAAGAATTTCACCTTGGAAGGTGCAGCTGAACCCCAAATGGCCTTGCAGGGTAAAGGGTTCCTTGAAGTTCCAACGAGACCTTTATAGAAGGATTTAACTGAGAAAACCCTTGTGGGGGTCCACTTCGAAAGTCTTGAATCCTGATTCAGCACATCTAGAGGTTGGTTTTGCAGTAGAGCTAACATATCAGAAATCTGATTAATCTCCTAATCATTAAAACTCCTTCTAAAAGAAGGCCTCCAACAAATAGATCCACCAATCAACTCATAGCAGTCTGCCACCCAAGGCATTTCATTATCTGCCATGTTATACAGAGAGGGAAATCTGTCCTTAAAGCAAAATCACCATGCCATGAGTCCAACCAGAATCTCACCTTCCTTCCATCCCCAACTTTGAAAAGCAACCCCTCACTGAAACTGCTGAAGGCTTTTGGTATGCCCTTCCACAGGCTGCAGCCATAGGAAGGGAGGGATCCTTCTGCATCCCATCCATTGCTGCTCACCCCATATTTCTCAGCAATTACCTTCCTCCACAAATTGTTTGGTTCCAAAGCAAACCTCCAGAACCATCTACCCAAGAGAGCTTTGTTAAACAGTTTTACCTTCCTTAGCCCCAAGCCTCCAAAAGACACAGGTTTGCAAACCTGATCCCAACTCACCAAGTGATACTTGGATGCATCCTTCCATCCACTCCACAGAAAGTCTCTCATCCTCCTTTCTATCTGATCATCCACCTCAGATGGGATAGGAAGAACAGACATGTAATATGCTGGGAGACTGGCTAGCACACTCTTAATAAGAGTTACCTTCCCGCCCTTGGATAGGTACCTAGCCTTCCATGAGGCTAACCTCGAGTCAACCTTCTCTAAGACTGGAATCAACAGGGCTTTTGAAGTGCACTTGGCTCCAAGGGGCAGACCCAAGTACTTAGAGGGAAGTCACCCCACTTTGCAGCCCATTAGCCTTGCCAACTCAGCTACATTCTCAACATCCCCAATTGCCATTAACTCACTCTTTGCCAGAATCACTTTTAAGCCTGACACCACTTCAAACCAGTACAACATAGAACTTCAAATTGGTTACTTGGACAGACGAGGCATCACAAAAGAAAAGGGTATCGCCTGCAAACTGAAGAAGTGGAATTTCTATACCATTGTTCCTGACTTTGAAACCTTCCAAACACCTTGCTCTAGTTGCTCGATCTGTCAACCTGCTTTAACCTCCCATGACAACAAAAAAAAGCAATAGAGATAATGGATCACCTTGTCATAACCCTCTACAGCTCTTGAAGTTCCCTTGAGCAACACCATTGATTAGGATAGAGAACCTGGGGGTTGTCATGCACACCTTCATCCAGTTTCTCCACTTTCTACCAAAATGCATTCTAGCCACTATATAGTCCAAAAGGCCCAATTGACGTGATTGTAGGCCTTTTCTCCAAGTCAATTTTGCACACCAATCTTATCCTGCCGCTTCTCCTTCCTGAATCAATTAACTCATTAGCAACTAACATCCCATCTTGAATGTGTTTGTTGTGCACAAAAGCCCCCTGGTAGATGGATATGAGGGTCCATGACACCCCTTAATCTTGAAGCGAGTATTTTAGCCAAGACTTTGTACACACTTCCAATTAAACTAATTGGTCGAAAGTCCTTCATCCCCACTACACTGCTCTTCTTGGGGATTAGGGAAATGAATGAAGCATTCAAGCTTCTCTTATGGGCTACATCATGATGAAACTCCTCTAAAACCCGCATTAGGTCATGTTTTAAGACATCCCAAAACTTCTTGTAAACCAAAATAGTAAAGCTGTCAGGACCCTAGAGCGTTGTCCCCCTCCATTTCGTTTAAAGCTCTCTTTAGGGTTTTTCGAGTTCAACAGCTTGGAGATCAATCAGCGTGTTGAAATGGAGACCATCCAGAGTTGGTCTCACCTTACACGATTCACTATAGAGCTCTTCATAAAACTTAACAATAGCTTCCTTGATCTCCTTCTAGTTCACTACAAAATCTCCTACTTGCAACCACTTGATGTCATTCTTCCTCCTTGCATTTGCAAACTTGTGAAAAAAGGCGGTCTTATTGTCCTCTGATTTCAGCCATAGATTAGAGCCTTGGATCTTTGCCTCCATTTCACCTCCTCCTGATAGGTTAAAGAGTCATATTCTTTCCAAAGTTTAAAATGTCGATGTTGGTGGAAATGTCAGTCATCCAAATATAAGAAACATGTCAGAAATGTTGGAAAATATCGTATGGAAATATTGTAAAAATTATAGACATGGTGGAAACATTTTAAAATATGCAAAATATAGAAAGATATTTTATGAAATGATAAAAGAAGCACAGGAACACCTTTTTAAATTCTTATCTTGTTGCAAATCATTAAACAAAGCTAAGAAACTAAGGTTATAAACAAAAGAATACGTTCTGAAGTTGCCTTGTAAACTTTAAGATTCAGAGCTTCATGATAAAATGATTTAAAGCAAGATTTTAACTCGTAGAAAATGTAAATGATTGTAATAGATCAACCAAATAATCTATTACACAAACAAAAAACTAATATTTAACTTCATGTTTGAAATGAATATTGAGCTAGCTCAAAGTGGTAATCATGTAAGTTAGGCGGACAAT